CATGCTGCCCCCCCCCCCTCACAGGGAGCTGCGTTATGCCAGGCGAGACCCTGGGCCCACCAGTCCCGTTCCTCCGGCCTCCTCTGACGGCCCCGCTGCGGGGGAAGGGCCTTTGAACACGCAAGGGGGCAACGGGGGCCTTTTGCGTACCCACAGGTGCACCGCGGCCAAGGGCTGGCCCCGCTCTCTGCCGGTTAACCCGAGAGACAGCAAGCCCCCTGAGGCCTCCAGCAGCAGAAGGGACCAAACCTGGCTCAGCCTTCCCTTAGGGAGGGCGTCTCTTTCGTGCGAGCCCCCACCCCACCCCTGCCCCGCTCACTCATCCTGCCTTGCAGGATGGCCCTTCATGGTCCCTACAGCCTGGGCTTCCAGGAAAGCCATCTCCCGGGCTCTGGAACGCCCTGCCGGGAGAAGCTGCCTCGGCTGCCCGCCGCTGGCTTCGCAGAGCTTGTCTGCGGTGCACTGGGGGCTTCGATGAGTCAGGTGCTTCTTCTCTTTGGGATGCACTGTAAGTAACTGAGCAAAGGAACTATTCCAGGCACGGCAGGGTGGTTGCTTCATTCTTGTGCCCAGGGGCCTCTTTAAAGGCTGGTGGAGCAGCTCGGAGCAATTGCACACTCTTTCCACGCTCGCTCAGCAATTGCTTCCGCCAGACAAGCCTCCCTCCCCCCACCAGGCCAGCAGTGGAGATTGGGGCTGCATTCTGCCCCCCCCCCCCCCCGAGGATGGACCCCCTGTGAGCGAAGGACCCGGTGGCCGAGCTATTAAGTTTCTGGAGGCAGCTGAAACTTCAGGGTGGCCAAAGGCGGGTCTGGAGGGAAGAGTCAGCCAGCCCCGGTTCGCTCTAGAGTCGCGGGCACAAGCCCTGCGGCGTTGTTCCCACCCCACCAGCGCCTGCTTCGCAACGCATGTGACGAGCAAAGCGGTGTCAGTCTAACCCGCAGGCACTGTGCCTGCGCACTCCAAAGAGAAGGCAAGTCGTCTGGAAAGGACACACACGGAGCAGCGGTGCTGCGCTTCTGACCCACCGGGCGACCCATTCGCCAGCCCCACAAGCACTGCCTGGTGTTTTCCTCCCTCCCGCCCCAGCGCCACGTCGCGAGGTCGGACGGCTTCTTCGAGAGTGTTTCTCTCCTTGCCACATTTTCTGTGTTAACGGGGAAAGTGGGAAGAAGCCCTAAGGAAACAGGGAGGGTTCTGAGTAGGAGACAATCTTGGTGGGACCACCCCTCAACTTCCGAGCTTGAGTGAGGGTCCCGGAGGCACTGAAGCTTTGTTCGGAGGCCCTCCAAGCTCCGAGTGGGTCAGCTTGCCAACTGGACAAAGCTCCTACTTCAGCCCCCATGGCCTCAACTGTCCCTGTTCATTCTTTTAATCCAGTCAGTTCCCAATGTTCTCTTGGCAGACCACAGACAGTTAAAAGACACGATGCCACACAAACAGTTGAAAATATAAAGTACAAAACTGAATTTGACCTGTTCTGGATACTACCTTTGCCAATTTACAGCAAAAATTATACACTCTTGCAGAAGTGGAAAGAGACTTGAGGACTAGAAACCCGAGCAGGCATTCTAGCAGATTTTTCTCTGTGTCCCATCGTACTGGGCAGCCACGCAAGTATTTCGTACCCATTGGTGTTTCTCCCTCAATGTCTGGCCAGTCATAAAGTGCACTATTCAGTCCTACAGTGAACGAGGTCCTTTGATGTGGGACGCAGCCGTGCCAACAGCCACCGATCACGTCACGGCAGTGCCACAAGCAATGCTGAGAACGGGTGGCCCTCTCCTACAATCAGCACAGGACATTGTGCAATGGCTGACCTGGGGTGTCCGTGTGTGTCTTTCAGTTTGATCTAAGCACCCCCTTGTATTTCTCATGCGACGCCTAGGGAGTCAAACATTGTTGCTTGTGCTTGATCTGCATACCTGACAGTTTGAAGCCGCATCTGAAAACCGTTTCCTCTATGGCCGGGGTCGGCAACCCGCGGCTGCAGAGCCGCACGTGGCCCCTGAACCCCTCTGCCGCGGCGCTACTGCGCACATCACGGCCGCCGCCGATCCGAGGCCCGTGCCGGCACAGCGCTTGGATAAATCGAGGAAAAGAAAAGTTTCCGAAGAAAACCAAACGTTTAATGATACCTGGGTAGATTCATTTGCTTTTACTGCTGACGAACTTATGGGGTTTGCTGTTTAATGCATGCAGCCCTTTAGCACTGACTTTGACCCTTCAGGAAGCTGTTCTCCTATTCAAAATATATGAAAGGAGTCTTACTAGTTTATAATGTAAGAATAAAAATAACGGTGTTTAGAGACTGGACAAGAGCTGCAGCTAAATCATAATGCAGAGATACATAGCATTAAGGTAAAAAACGATATATGCAGTGTGATCTTCATGTCAGACGTCAAAGGGGTTTGCGGCTCCCGGGGTTTTCTTTTGTGTGGGAAACGGGTCCAAATGGCTCTTGGAGTGTGAAAGGCTGCCGGCCCCTGACCAAGACCGTCTCTACTTGAGACCCTGAACTTAATTCATTTTTAAGATAAGCTTTACAACTGAATTGATTGTGTCTGTTGGGCCAACAGAGTAAAAAGACTGAATTAATGTGCTGGATTCCTTTTAGAGACTGATCAAGGCTAATAAGAGATGCCTACACATTTCAGATACTTTAATAATAATATTAATAATAATAATTATTATTTATTATTATTGCCACCACGATCATTCCCCGCAGGAATGTTAAGTCACCTTCTGCACAATTCCAGGTTGGAAAACCTCCTGAGAGGTCTGTGCCCCTGGTAGGAGGTGCCGAAGGAAAAGGGGCCAGGGCAGAAAGCGCCCAGATGCCAGCCCACAGTCGCCTGACGTGCTTAATTCCAGGAAGGGCCCATTCAAAGCCAGCCAAAGGGGGTTCCTGAGCGATCAGAAAGGAAAACCAGAAACAAATGCAGGCATTCGAAACGCCTTTACAGCCACCACCGTGTGGGCTCAGTCCGTCATCCTTGCTCACTTCCGCACTTGCCCAGAGCACAGGCACCGGGCAGTGGGTGGAACGCTGCACAGGAAAAGTGCATTAGCAAGACAAGATCTGGGAAGGACTGCAAGAGCCAGGAAGCTTGGTTTTAAGGCCCTTCCGCCCGTCCTTTGTGGGAAAGGTCATAGGTTTATGGAGCAAAGTCTGCTTCGCTCCAAGGTCCCCCCTGCAGCGGCGCTGAGGGCAAAGTGGGGAGGAAATGGCACTGGATAATCATTAGCAGCGCAGCACAGGTGTTTGCTCAGGCATAGGGTGGGTCAGCTACTCCATCTAGCCCCACCTTTCACCTGTGCCCCACAGGGAACTCCAAGCGCAACCAGTGATGCAGCCGGGTTGAAGGATTTAACTGGAGGAGGTCTTACAAACAAAAGCCGAGGCTTCCTGTACCCTCGCTGCAAAGCACAGGCAAACACTTCCGTTGCCTTTCCCACCACAGCCGCGACTCTGTGCCAACAGCTGCCTCTGATTCGAAACCCTGATTCCAAAAAATAACTATGCACTTCAAGCAGGTGGAGTTTTGCTTCCTTAAATGCTATACTCTAGTAGTGGGGTGCTTGCTTTTAAGTTTGGTAAAGCTTCAACACTCTGTTAGGTAGCGTAAATTGTTATTTGCTTTCATTTCAAGACCGCCTCATAGCCAAGGCTCCCTGGCAGCGCATCCCAATTTGCGAAGTACAAAGCGAGGCCAAGCAAAGCAGAGCCCTTCCAAAGCATGCAAGGAGCTGCCTTGCCGTCCTGCTGAAGAGGCAGCACCACGATGGGGCATGAATGTAATGCTGACGTGACCGAGCAGGGAAAGCGGGAGAAGGAAGAGGAGGAGGGAGATCAATGTTTAAGGAGCCTACGGATCACCTCCATGGCACCTCAAGGTACACTGCTCTCAAGCCTGGAGGCTCCGCTTAGCTGGCACGCCTCACAGAGCTTCACAGACTGATCTCTTGAGAACCTTGTCGCCTGTATCCTCACCGGCCAAATTCTGATCAGTTCGAAGGATGTGCCTCATTTCCTTCTTTCTTTCTCCCACCGGAGTTTGGCTGACCCTCGCATCTTTCCTAGCGAATTAGCAGAGGGCACGACCAGAGGTCGCTGGATGGGGCCAGCCTCATCGGTTATCCGGGATGTGTTGGTGTCTCTTCTCGAGGGGAGAACGCCCACAATCGTGGCACCAGCACCAGCTTCCCCCGTGTCATCCTCACAACGCAGTGAGTGAGTGAGCGAGTGAGTGAGAGACACACACCCCAAGCCGTCGTTTCTACCTGGCTCCGAGGGGAGGGGGGTTCCGCAGGCCCGCTGCTGGCACTGGGGGGCTGCAGACGGTCGGCTGGACCTCCCGAGCTCCTCCCAACACCCCCCGCCTTCATTTCTCAAAAACTGCGTATCTCTGTCCTCTCCCGTAGAAGTTACGCTCCTTTTTCCCGCTGCTTCCTGCATGGAACCCAAGGTAGCTTTCACAGTCTCCTCCCCTCCCTCTTATCCTCACAACCACCTCGTCAGGTAGGTGAGGCTGACGCTCGGTGCCTGGCCCAAAGGTGCCCGGGGAACTTCGCAGCTAAAGGGGGACGAGATCCCGAAGCTCTCAAGCGCCAGGCCACGGTTCTACCCACTCGACCGCACTGCCTCTCACCGCGCAGAGTTTGACTTTCTCTAGAATTGCGCACGTTGCTCCAAAAACAGAAAACCGCAGGCTAGGGCAAACTTCTCCGAGCAGGCGCCCTCGCGGGCCGCAGGACCACCACGCCCATCTCTCCCAGCCAGTGGCCCGAGACACCTGGAGGCAGCGGGTGGGAGGCGCCCCCGGCCCTTTGCGCCCCTCGTTCCCTGGCGGGCAGGCGGGCAGCCCCCCCGAAGAGCGGCGCGCGAGCGGGCCGAAATCCATCAGGGGAGGCGCGCCGCGCCCCGCCCCGCCCCGCCGGACGGGCGCCCCCTCCGCGCCCGCGCCCGCGCCCAGGGCCCCCGGCGCGGCCGCCCCTACCTGCGCGTCCCCCAGCTCGCCCACGTAGTACTGCTCGAGCCAGCGGCGCGCGTTGCGCGAGTGCCGGTGCGGCGGGCCGTCCAGCGCGGCGCTCACGTCGGTGCCGGCGCGCTCCAGCAGCAGCTGCTGCCCGCCCGGGTGCAGGCGCACGAAGGGCGACAGGTCGTAGAGGCGGCGGCCGGCCAGCACCAGGCACGCGCCCCCGGCGCAGCGCTGGCGCACCTCGGCGCGGGTGAAGCGGCGGACGGGCGGCATGGCGGGCAGGCGGCGCTGCCTCTGCGGACACCTGCGCCTCCCGCGCTCCGCCTGCTACATATGCACGCGCGCCCCGGGCACGCCCCGCCCGGCCCGGCCCGGCCCCGTCCGTGCGCTCGCCGCAGGACGCGAGGAGGGCGCCGGCGCCGCCCCAGCACGCCCCTTCCCGGGCCCGCGCCTCCCGGCCGCCAGGCAGGCAGGCAGGCCTCCCTGCGCGCAGGCCCGGTTGCTCCCGAAGCCGCGGGAAGCGGCCAGCACGCGCGCCTCTGTGCATGTGCAGAGCCGTCCCGGCTAGTCTAGGCGCGGCCTCCCCCAGCCCGGCTCGCGCTCACGCACATGCCTTGGGCAGGCCTGGCAAGCGCTGCCCCGACCCCTGATTACCAGCCTGCCTGAGCGCCCCTCTGGCGCAGCACGGAGGAAGCCCTGGAGCCATCCCTGATCGGAGATCCATTCTGCCTCCTCTGCCACTCCTGCCGGCCGGAGTACGGGCCAGAGGGAGCAAAGCTCGGGAACGCCCGTGGTGCCCTTCACCTTCCTCGCTCTTGCTGCATCAGAGTAACCGCTCCACCCCTGTGGAAAGGGGCCCTCCTGGATACCACCCAGCGCTGGGTCACAGGGGGTGGGAGCCAAGCCCCTCTCCCGGGAAAGGGAGGGTCCCCAAAGCCACAGGCAGCTTCTGTGGCACAGTGACCCTCCATAGCCACACCGAGGGTTGGCCTAGAGAGTTTGGACAGCTGTCTAGGGTGCCAATCCACACACACACACACACACACACACACACACACACCCCGGAAAGCCCTTGCACCTCACCTCATGCGAGGAGTTGAGGAATGCAACAGTTGAGAGGGAAGGTAGTATTTCAGACCTCACCTGGAGTCCTGTGCCCAGTGCTGGGCACCAAGATCTAAGAAAGATGCAGAAAAATTGGAAAGGGTCCAGCGGAGGGCGACAGAGATGACCCAGGGTTTGGAAAGACTGCCCTGTGACTGAGAGAACTGGGCATGTTCAGCCTTGAGAAGGCTGAGGGGGGACATGAGATCCCTCTATACGTAAGTCCCTCAAAGGCTGCCACAAAGAGGGAGGTCAGGATCTCATCTCGCTGATGCCAGAGTGCAGGACATGGAATAATCAAGTCAAGCTGCAACTACCCAGATTCAGGCTGCACATCGGGAAAAGCTTCCTCACTGTCAGAGCAACACAACTGTGGGACCGGCTGCCTGGAGAGGTGGGGGGCTCTCCCATCCTGGAGGCATTCAAGAAGAAACTTGGCAGCCTGCTGAGTGGGACTGTGTAAATTGCTGTCCTGCAACAGCAGGAGCTGGGACCCGATGGCCTTCTTGGCCCCTCCCAACTCGACTGTGCTAGGATTCTTTGACTCGGCGTGTGTTCCGCTCACCCCTGCCAGCCTCTGATTTTCATTCCACTTACCCACTCAGGACCGGATGGCGGCTGGGTCTGGGGTCAAAACACGCACCTTGGAGCGCAGCTGAATCTCCCCTTGGCCCGCTGCAGCTGCCTTTGCCGGTGAATTGGGCTGGGCAAGGGCTGCTCGACTGTGCTTGAGGGAACTGAGGCAGACCGAAAACACAGTCCAGAAAACTGCGTTGGGATCTTAGGCTGTATTTCAGCACGCGGCTCAGAAATTCTTCTTAGTGTGAGCAACCCACTAATATCATGAAGTGAATGAATGAGTGAAAAAGAAAGGGGGCACCACAACTCGATCGCACCACGGCCAGTTCAGGCCACTGCTGGGGCCCCCGTTTATTTTTATTTTTATTTATTTACTGTTAAGATGCATATTGCATTGTCTGCTAAAAGCCACCCACGTGGTGCGTGGCATCTCAAAACGAATCCACCAATCAGCAAACCAGCAACTTTAAAACCACATCTTTTCAGTTGTACTTTATCTTATTTTTTAATTGGACTGCCCTGGAATTGTAATATCACCTACCTCCAGTTTATGCAATTCCAACAATTTGTGAGTACCACCATTATCAATAATATTGATGTTGCCTATTTTCCATCAAATGCAAAATAATGGAATGTCTGCATTATTAAAACAGCTAGTTGGTTTGCTCATAATATTGTATCTTAAATTGCTCAATTTCCTAAACAATTGTGCCCTGGAACAGTTTGTTACAGAACTGATGGGAAAACAATGGATTTCAATTTAATCTGAGGTGAGGTTGCCTCAGAACAGAATTGCTACGCGATCTAAGTCTTGCTGTACGAATAGGAAATAGGGACCATGGCGCTGCCAGATGCTGCTGCTGCTGCTGCTGCTGCTAGTCGCGAAGTTGCGTCCGACGCACCGCGACCCCACGGACGACATCCCTCCAGGCCTCCCCGTCCCCCACCATCCCCGGCGTCGACCTAAGCTCAGGCCCACTGCCCCACGACTCCATCCGGCTAGGCGGCTAGACGGAGTGTGGTGGAAAAGCGCAGTCACCTTGGCTTTCAAAAGAGGCAGCGGCTTCTCTAAAACTGTTCAAAGCACGGGTCCTCAAACTACGGCCCGGGGGCTGGATCTGGCCCGCCGTCACCCCGTGGGAGGCAGCACTTTGCTCACGCGGGGAAAGCGAAAGCGAAAGCGAGCAAGCGAGCCGCTGCCTAGTGCACCTACACCCGCCCCGGCAAGCGTGCCCGCACACACCCCGGCACCAGCAGCTTTCAACCGCCCTCCCATGGAAAGGCTTGAGGACCCCTGGGTGAGAGGGACCTCAAAAGGGAGTCACGAAGCTGAGATCCCTTCAGAGTGTTTGGGAATTGCCCCAAAATCACGCGCTGCCTGAACGCGCGGCAGGGCAGGGCAGGCAGGGAGCGCCAAGCACCAAGCGCTCCCGAAGCCCCGTCAAGGGGCGCGCTGTTAGCAGCCGCTGAGCAGCGCTCTTGCCCAGACGGGCAGAGCAAAAGAGGGCGCGGGGTTGGGTTGGGTTGGGTTAGGACTTCCTGGCCTGACCCATCCATCTCTTACCAGCAAGCAGCTGATAAGAGATGGCTGGAAAACGAGCTGAGGAGCATTCCCCTAACAACATCAGGGCCAGCAATAAAGAATTATTAATATATCGGAAGAAGCAAGTCAGCAAAGCAGTTGGACCATTGGTGGTGGTGGAGTTAAAGGGGTATGCGGTGAGATTTTGGAGAAGCTGAATCTATTCTTTTTATCTGTCTACAGTGCAAAAGATACAGGAAGGGAGGAAGTTCAGGAGGGGAGCCTGAGGAAAACCATTCTCAACTTCTCTGACACACTGAAAGTTAATAAATCGTGAGGCCAGGAGGAGATCCATCCTAGAACTCATAACGAACTCAAAGATGAAACTGCTACTCAGATGGGGTTGTGGTGGACAGCCTGCTGAGAGAAGGAGCTCAGTGCGCAGCTGCTGCGAAAAAGCACAGCCCCATGTTGGGCATAATTAGGAAAGGAAAGGAACGGAGCGCGAAACTGCCGCGTTCTACTGCTCTTGATTGAGTGGTGCGACCACACACCTGAGAATCCTGTGGACCCTTCTGGTCACCACACCTAAAATAGGCTGTTGCAGAGTTGGAAAAATGTCCAAAAAAGGACAACTGAAATGATTAAGTTGCTGGAACAACTTCTCTGTGAGGTAAGGTGGCTGTGGCTTGGACTGTTTAACTTAGAAAAAGTATGACTAACAGGAGAGATGAAGGAAGTGCATAGAATTATGCACTGTGTGATGAAACTGCGACGGAAGATATTTTTTCCTCCCATAATGCTAGCACCCAGTGGAGTCATCCCATAAACACAGAAACATAGAATCAGAGTGAGTCAGGAGGGGCCTCCCGGGCCATCTAGTCTGACCCCCGGCTCCAGCCGGCTCCACTTGCGTCATGCCCACCATGTGCATGTCCAGCCTATCCTTGAATACCCGCACCGATGGGGCCTCAACCACCTCCCGGGGAAGCCCATTCCATGCCCTCAGGGTCCTAACCATCAGGAAGCACTTCCCGACATCCACCCTCCACCCTGAGCTTTGCTCCATTGGAACACGTCCTGCCCTCCGCTGCCGGGGGGGGGGGGGTCACGACCCACCTCTACATGGCACCCCCTCATGCAGCAATATGTCGCTAACAGGTCCCCTCTGAGTCAGACCTGGCCCCCTCCGTATCCATGGGGAGAATCCAGAAAAGATGGATACAGAAGAGCTGCCGCAAGGGCACACCGCAGTCTAAAAGGGGCCCAGACCACGCAAAGTGGACAGGTTACTGGGGCTCCTGCCCTCCTGGCAGGCTGTGTGTGAAGCTCTGGTTTATTTTGTGCTACAGCCTTTTTCTGTCTCCAAAGAGAAGGGCTGGAACAAGGTGTCTACTCGGTTTGGCTTGAAAGGGTTGTGCTTCCCGGGAGGAACCCAAGAGTAACTGAGGGCAACACCCACCACTCCTGACCTGAGGAGGGAAGAGGCCCGGGATCGTGCAGATTGGTTTGTCAACTCCCATGGCGGAGCAGATAAGGACCTTCCAGCTGATGCAGGATCCTGATAAGGCAGAGGTCTGTAGGCGGCTCCCTTGCCTGGGAATCGGGATTTACTGATCTTGCGCAAGGCTGCATTAATAGAACACCGTCAAGAGCCGAGGCAGCGTCAGGGCTCGCTCTGCTGGTCAAAGACCAGCGCAGCAGCCCTGGTACTTGCGGGATTACTACCCCGGCTGCCAGGGCTCTCATGAGCTCCACCTGGGAGCCCTGGGAAAGGAGCTGTGTAAGAACTGGCACTTCTCCCCAGAAGCTGCCTTGGCAACAAATGTCCGT